CCGTCTCCCCCATGAACCTTTAAAAAAACAACCAAACTTACAAAACAAAATTTGATAATATTTTTAGCTTGTCCGTCAATGTCTGGCGATGACCAATACATCCACAGAGGAGAATATTTCTCCAATGAAATAGAAAAATTCGAAGAATTAAAGGTTACGATGACTTGTGACTTCTGCTGTGGCCGATGAGACCAATTCTGTTGGAGAAAACTTTGCCACATTTTGAACATTTAAAGGTTCCACTTCCACTTGTGGAGGTGCACAGCCGGCGGGCTTCTCTCTGGGTTTCAGCACTTCTTATTTCAAACGCGGACGCTTTTAAGCACAAGGGGGCTATCACGAAAAATGCTGTTTTTAGAAAATCGAAAGTAAAGTTTTGTTCAGTTTCTTTAGAAGACAAGGAGAGTTTTCTCTATAACTAAACGAATATACACACCAGTGAAACCAAACTTCTCCTACAGGTAGAGCAAGGCCCACTTTTGGTGTAGGTCAAGATTTCTGGAAACCTCCGAAATCTGTCTTAGCCCGCTTGTCTTTAAAAGTGACCATATATAACAAAATATACAAGAAAAACGTTTCACCTGGGTTAGAGGACAGAAGCGCAGATGCAAACTGAGCCAGAGCGGCTGGCATCGGTGAAGACGACGAAGGAGTTGCTCCCCCTGCCGTGCCGCCGAACAACCCAGGCATTCCAGGGGGCATCATTAGAGTCGGCTTCTTCTTGGCCTGAGGCTCGCTCAGAACTTTGATCTGGGAGCTGGTGAGGACGACACAAAGGCAGAAAGAGAGGTCCAGATTTATTACACAGTGGCCCCTTTAACACTATCCACCCAGGCAGCGTGCAGAGTGAGCAACACTTATCCCCATGGACCATGATACAGATGTGGTACACGCTATATCACACCGTCGCCGATCAGCATCCCATGGGGAAAAGGGACGGCTTCTTACTGTCGTCGATCGGCGCCCCGTGGGGGCAAAGTGTTAAAAAAACTAATCTTACAAGCGGTAGCAAAGTCATAATGCTTGGTATAGCTTCCAGGTCCCATTTCCATATATATCAAAACCTTCTGATTCAAAAATACATCATTATGTATAACAACTGAAGAGAAAACAAATATTTTTTCTCTTCCTATTCCATCCTTTCTTGTATAAACTTACCCTACCACCTGAAGAAGAGCTGTCTAAAAAATGAGCAAGCAGAACTTTAAAAAAAAAAGAAAAAAAAGAAATGCAATATCATATCATATGAGATTCGTACATCTTTCATAAAATAGATTATATATGAAGCAGGTAAATGAGCAATTTATAAAGTTAGCGTTTCAGTATCGAACTATACAGGCAGACAAGGACTTATCAGTATGGATAAATAAAAGAAAGAGAACGAAATAAAACTAACAGCGTAACTCACAGCTCAACTCTGGAAATCTCAACGCCCCAGTTCACACACACCTTGTTACTGTTGACCTTTTGGATAAGAGAGAGAAACAAACAAATGAAACACATGCATGTACCAACAACTGAGGAGTGGTTTCATACAAGTTAATGAAAGACCTGAATTTTGTCTTTTGATTATAATCAGGCCCAAAAACTATAATCTATACAGAACAAACTCCAGCTCTTCTGTTTATTGTTCTTGAGTTCATTTGATTAATAATTAGGGCCTACACCTAATTTGAAAAAAAAAAAACTAACAAAAAAAGAACTCACTATTTCTGAAAGAACAAAAGGTCCTAAAATGAAATAACAAAACTAAACATTACATTTTGGGGTGTTTAAATTAAATAAATACCATAAAAGCTAGTGCTAAATATAAAAACAGGTGGCTTTTATTTTTTACAACTTTATATCTAAATTAAAAAAGATACGTAACAGGGAGTTTTCTACTAGGCATGCAGTCAGCAAAATGTTGAAGAATTAATTGTTTGACTTTGAGTAAAGAGAAGCACTTTGATACAATAATGGTCATTTAGAGCAGCAACTAAGCAAGAAAAACACATAAAACAGATGGAAAAAAAAACAAAGGAAAGAAAATTAATTGGACCTTCCAGGGGCTCTCTCAACTGCATAAGGTCATATGAGCGCCAAGGGGTGGATGTCAACAGAGAAGTCCAAACGGGGAATCAGGCTTACTTTGCTCACCTCTCTAGCCTCAACAGCACAAGCCGGCTTTAACTATCAAGGCACCCCGAAAAAAGCAGTTCACAAGAGAGTGACAAACATACAAAACAAGTAGAGGAAGAAAATGACGATAGTAAGGATGAGGAAAGAAAAAGCAGCACTGTCAACCAAGGCAAAAAGCATCATAGACTAGTTTAAGTAAGATTTGACCTGACTCATCGCTTCTCAGCCTTTTTGACTAAGATCAGAGTGTAGTATCTGTACCCCGACTTTTTGGCTTTCTGCAGGGTTCAAAACAGGACAGATGCTTCATGAAGCTGATGACGCTTTGGTCTCAATTATATCTAGTCGATGGCAACATCCTCTTTAACACTTTCCACCCACGCAGCGCGCTGAGCGCACGACACTTAACCCCACGTACCAGGATACAGATGCGGTACATGCTATATTACACCGTCACCAATCGCCGTCCCGTGTGGGCATAGTGTTGAAAAAAAAATTTGCAGAGAGCTTTTCCCCGCTCGACAGCAAGCTCTATGCGCTTTGCACTATATCATTACCCCAAAAGACCATAGAACACTCAGAAACATTCTCTGCTTCCCAGGAAGAATACAGTAATAATAATAATAATAATAATAATAAATAGCATTTGTATAGCGCATACCCCCGCTTAACAGCAAGCTCTATGTGCTTTACACTATATGTGTCAAGGCGTAATGGAATCAAGCGCTCGTCAATTTTCGGGCATGTGAAGTTATAGGTATTATCTTAAAGGTTATAATTTGTTCCCTGCTTACGAGGAAATAAACTTCCATTTATCTGGAATAAAAGTCGCCATTTTTGTGATTGAAGGAGGTGGAGTCGCCTGGTTTCAGAATAAAAATTAGCGAGAAAATGACCGCCAAAGTTTGGTGACTTGCATAGCTTAAGAGTCTTCGGAAACAGAAAAGTAAAATTTTTTGTGCCTCCTAATCAACGTTTTTCAATAAAAATCCACACGTAAAAGTGTTTTTGAACGGACATACAAGGTGTTGAGTCAAAAAACAAAAATTCGAAAAAATATGTCCAAACTGGCCGGAAAATGCTAATTTCTCAGATTTTAATAATTTGACGAGCGCCTGATTTCACCAAGATGCCTCAAATATTGTTATCCTGACAGACCATACAAGGAGCTGATTAAGTGCTCAAACACTCACAAACTGAGAAAGACAATCTTTCAGTCTATAGAGATGGCCTAGTGGTTAGGCTCTCGGACTCGCAACCGTAAGGTCGTGGGTTCAAATCCCGTCAAGGGCCCGACGTTGTGTCCTTGGGAAAGGCACTTAACACGAATTTTCCTCACTTCATCCAGGTGGGAATGGGTACCCGGCTATAGACAGCGAAAGATCTCGTCAGTTTGTTAGTGTTTGAGCACTTAATCGGCTGCTTGCACTGTATGCTTCCCGGGAAGCTGAGAATGTTTCGGAGTGTTCTATGGTCTGCTGGGGTAATAATATAGTGTAAAGCGCATAGAGCCTGCTGCTGAGCGGGGATATGCGCTATACAAATGCTATCTATTATTATTATTTGACCTGGCTGTGTGCCCCCCACATACCATCAGTACATCTGCGATGGACCTCCTCTCTGCCTCTATCTCGGACAGAGATTTCTGCACTAGGATGTTGCAGAGCGAGGTCTGCACCAAAATGCGCGTGGACCGGTCTAGATTCTGCACGTTGGTCACAGACTTCTCGGCGTCCATCACCTGGAAGTGGATCTCTGCCCCGACCTCGATGATGCCCCCATCCTCCGTGATCACCTGATGGGTAGGTTAGGGTGAGATGTTGGGGTAAGGGTGAAGGGTAAGGGTGAGGCGTAAGGGTGATTTTTTTTTTTTTGTAAGTGTTTTATGGCACTTGCAACACGTGCTGTGAAAAAGCAAGATAGACAGAGACAATAGTGGGAAAGAGTAGAAGCAGGATCTACCAATGGTACCCTCCAAATTCAGAAAAGACCATACTAGAGGGCATATCATTCATATACTGGGTGAGGAAGAGAAGGAAATAAAGAGAAAGGAGCAGTCAGAAAAGGGTAGAGGGGATAGAGAAAGAAAAAAAGGGGAATACTTACAGTTACACGAGCACAAACCTGTGACACCTCACCTGTTTTGGCGGTACACTGAAAGCTTTGAGAAAGACATCCACTTTGTGATATCGGTCCAGGATCGGGAAGACAAACACCAAACCTGTCAAAGAGGTACAAAAATGTAATATTAACACTTTGCAGTCACACAGTCAGCAATACAAAATACCCCATCTGGTCACCCAGCCAGGAGAGTGACTGCAACAGATTTATCGATCTGTTGCAGAACTGCCTCACGTGACAGGAACAGGTAAAATTCATCATTATCATCATCAATGCCTTTCACCCCAGGTAGGGTATAGGCCTTTTATTTGAATGAAATTTTAAAAAATCATACAAAGACAATAAGAGTCAATGAAAAGCGAAGTTATCAAAAGGCAGTTAGTGTGTAGTAAGCAGACAGATAAATGAAAAGTAAGACTATTTCAGTAAGGTAGAATATGCTTAGCTTGATAAATAATGATGCAAGAGATTTATAATATTGAAACAAACACACTAGGACAATAACAGATTCAAACTTCTTTCCAATGACACTTTAATACAGATGTTCCAGTCTACAGCATTGGTACATCCTCGCGTTGCGAAAAAAAGCTTAACTCCGTTTGACCCTTCAAAACAGGGAGACCAATAGACCAGAAAATGGTGAAAGGCCAGGACTGAATCATTAAGGAAGTATTCAACTTTCTGTTGACAACATTGCTTTTTATGGTGAATTCTCCATTAAATGACTCTCCTCCCCCCCTCCCCCCCCCCCCCCAAACCACCACCCTACACAATTTCAATTATTTCTTCAATCCGAAGCTGCTCATTTTGAGGAACTTTACGACACGAGGTGTTCTGTTGATGTATGTGCATAAAAAAATAACTTTGTGAATCTCTCTCCTTTAAAAAAATTTGACATTACACTGAATCCCATGCCGTTGGATGCGAAGTAAGCTTAGGCTATCTAAAGACATTTACAGTATACCCATTAACCCTGCCCCCAATAATTTTTTCTAAAAAATGGACACCTAAGAAGGGAAGGAAGTCGAGTACAGTACCACTTTAGAAAGGTTGCAAACTCACCTGGTCCTTTAGACTTGTGCAACCTGCCAAGCCTGAACACAACAAGCCTTTGGTTGGTCGGTATTTTCTGAAAATCAAATCCAATTTCAATAAGATCTACTGAACACATTAAACCCCTGGTTGATCGGTATTTTCTGGAAATTCAAATCAGATTTCCAAAAGATCTACTGACAGAAAGCCTTCGGTCGGTCGTTTTTTCCCGGAATTTCAAATCAAGATTTAAACGAGATTTACTGACAGAAGGAATGCATCAAGTCAAAACAGCGACTCTTTGAATGCAATGATAAAATCTATACTATATTTTAAACCATAAAGTCTGTGTCTTATCTAATAAAAGATTGCACACTGTACTCAACTTATAGAGAGTAATCTCTATGACGAAATATACAGTAAGTATGTGGGGCTGGAGTCTTAAGCCTTTGAGGCTACCATGCCCATCTACCTGATCTCCTGAGTGATTCATGCCTTCAATCATATCATCATCAGAATCATATTCCATATCCCACTCAGCATAGTCCTCGTCATTACCAGCAGGTAAATCAGAAAAATGTTCATAATAATAACGTCCAGTGAAGAAAACACGGCCTCCCAAGTGTGTTTTGTCACACATGTGCCAGGTTTGGGAGAGGGTCTTGTTCAATAGTGAACGGTGGCTAGGCATTTGGACAATTTTATGCGCCACTGGTGCACCGGTGGCAAAGGCTCAAAGGGTTAAGAGTGAAAGGGCACATCTTATATACATGTATAAGCCCTTTATCTAAAAAAAAATCAGCTACCTGTAACTATCAATCTTCTCTGATCAAATCACTCATGGAACACAAAAGATACAGTTCTTGAACATAGCTCTTTGTTCGAGCAGAAATAAGAATGAGAGAATGAAACCTTCACTGGTGTTTATGGTGTAGTGGTTACGCTCTTCACCATTATATGCAGAAGATGTGAGTTCGATTCCTAGGTATGGAAGCTTTTTAATCAAGTATCTCCTTCTCTCTGTTGAGATGTTGTATCCCACTGAGCCTGGGTTGAGCCTGACTGACAGGGGTCAAAGCAGCCTGTCTACAACAACGATCTATATTTTGTCAATGTAGACATTCATCACTTACAATTTCAAACTAAACAAAACTGTAATAACAATGGAAAAAATACACAACGTGGACAGAAGTGAGCAGATCTGGAGACAACAGTTAAGTGAGTCAGGGAGGGGGGTCGGGATGTTTCACAGGGCAGGAGAAAACAAGTCACTTCTTTTGAAATGTCCACATTCCCATCCCCAAAAGATTAGAGACTTGGTCAAAATCAAATTTTTAAAAACCCAGAGACGACAGTACGGGTCGTGAGCACTGACCTTGAAACTGAACCAGACCATGAGGGGAAAGGTCAACAGGTAGACCACGTAAAAGCCAAAGGTCACCATGAATCGGATAAAAGTGTCAGCACTCGATGGCTCCAAAGTTCCTAAAACACACAAAGATAGTTTTCAAAAATATGAAAGAAAACAGGCAAAAAAGTGATCGTAATCATGACGTCAAACATTTTGAAAGGACTTCAAGGAACTTCTGTGCTGGTGGTGATACAGCAGGAGGGAAAAAAAACATTGCCAGTAAGCAAAGGCAGTAATTGTGTACGCCTCATGGTAAATGAAACCTGAACTTCTGCATGGGAGTGATTAGAAAAACTATTTCACAGAGACTTATGTCGCCTCTTTATGACTGACTCATGATATTAGACCGCTTTACGGATGATGAAGACCAGTTGCTCAGAATGAAACTCTAAAATGAAGTTCCCATGTCCTCCACTCTCTCCAATTCCTCACTAATCCAGACAGTAAACACTAACTGTCCTGCTCCAGGCTTTGGTCCAGGTTTCACTATCTCAGAACGTACACAGCTGCAAGGAAATTATCTCCATACTAGCTGGGTACCCCGTTCGATGAACAGACTCAAAAGAATCGATCATCAAGTCATTGTGGGATCGGTGTGCACTCCTTGTGAACGGAAGCCTCACCTGTTTACAATGGCGTCTTAGAAGACAGACTTTCCCAAGTTTAGATCTAAACAAACCTAAAGAAAAACTGAAAATTAAACTCTTTAAATGATTCTGAACCACTGTTAATTTTTTCAAATTCGAAAGTTGAGTGGTTCGGAAGTTTTAGGCCACCAAAGTGACGAGCTTTCACAAATATAATTATAAAGATGAAATACACCAAATGGAGTTTACACCAATGTTAACACTTGGCAGTAAATTCTTTCACCAAAACCTCCAGATTGGGTCAGAAAGGCGTAACTGAACCAGCAAAAATGTTGTTATTGAGAAAGTGACAAAGATCCTTTATCAAGATGCAGAATCTGCAAATTCAACAATAGGATATAATCCTCATTCTCTCTGAACAATACTGAATATGGTAAAAGTGAATAACTCATTAAAAAATCCTTCTTCAACAACGCATAACTGGGTTAAAAAGAAACAACGCCTACTCCAGCTGGATAAGCAGCATCAACAATATATCGTGACACTCATTCGATAACTGCCTTAGTCATTTTGTTGGTGTTTTGAGAAAAAGAACAAAAACTGTTGCATTTACAAGACAGACACGGCACATATAGATTTTTCTAAATAATTTTTTGGTTTAATCAATATTATAAATTACCCACAGGACCTTCACAGAGATCAGGGGAACTAATCCAATTATCCAGAAGTATAGCTCAGTTTACCCCCAAAAAGGACTAGTCAATTATCGAACGAGCGTGATCATATTAAATTAGTCAAACAAAAAATCAAAATCCTCATGCTGTAGCCCTGAAACCTTTGTCCATACCATTGGACGGGTCTTGGGACTTGTCCCTGTTGTTGTCGTATGTGAAGGCCGACCGGTACTTCCAGCTGCTCTCGCCCTTCTCCTCAAAGGAAAATGCCGAAGAATAGTCGAAGGTCAAACTGTCTTCACCGTCTCCCATCGGCAAACGAGAATACTTCACTGACGATGCCATTTGCAGAGGTTCTCTGAGTACAATGAGGAATCATTCGATAATATGAAGTTTACAAAATTTGATATGAATGAGCGGACATTAATTTGATATAGATTACATATGTATGAATACGTTAATACAAAACAAATTAAATTAAGAGTAGAAGAGAAGAGAAGAAACATCTCACCCAGAACTTATGGGAAAAGTAAAATTTAACATATCTCCTTCAAAAGTTTCAGTACTTTCATACTGATTCACTTCATACAAGAAATCTCAGCCCTTTCTTCCACAGCTGGTAGAGGCAAAGTCGACCCAGCCCCCCACCCACCCACAGCCTCATCTCTGTCTCTCACTTACTTACTTACTTACTTAGGCCTACTTGATGAAGACGGGATTGTGAGCTCAGATCAGCTCAACATTCTAGACTGAGAAAGTTGTGTAAATTCGCCAAGTCTAAATCCAATAGAACTGAGGTGTCCCAGATCTTCTTTCAGGACAGCCGATCATGAGGCTTAACTTTCCCATGCTACAAGAGCTGCATTGTGAGGTTGCTGTTCAAATATAATAAACACCATCGTATTATGCTCCTCTAAAAAAATATCCTCCTTCCAAAGATTCGAAAAAATCTGTCAAACGAAAATAAGGTGAGATAGATATGACAAGATATAAGACAAGGTGAGATAAGTTTAGATAAGATAAGATCAATCTTTATTGTCCAAAAGTTGGCATAATGGTTTCATGTTTCACACCACATACGAACATGCACTCATACACACATACTCTCTCACACATTCTCTCTTCCACACACACATATTATATCAAAATGAACCATATTGGGGAAAAGGAGCCAAGCAGGCCTTATATGCTGAGGCAAAGAAATTGGCAAATCAACACTTATGAAGGTTTACCATTATCTGCTACCAGATTACCAGTGATGCTTATAACAAAAAGTCAAAAAGGAGGAAAACCATCGGTGCCACGATGAAACTAGGGGAGGAAGAAGCCTGTAAGAAGCGAGCGTGGGAACAGTGTGAAAATGAATGAGAATCAAGAAGAAAGCCATCCAAAACGAAAATGAAGAAATCAAAATATTGTCACGCACGATTTCAACGCAGCACGCGAGAGCACGCCAGATAACGAAGATCGCTTCGCAGAATGAAGAATTCAAGCTTGTTGAATTACATTTCCGTATACATCGGTGCCCTGACTTTCGTGAGACTTGGGAGGATGCCAGATCGCTGAGAAATTTCCTCGGAAGGCTCAAAAACCAGGAATTCCTCGAATTCGAGGAAGATTAGCATCACTAGACCACCAATCCTCTGACACAGCCAACCCACTTTCAGTTATTTTCCGTTTAATTGTCAATCTAAGACAGCAAATCTTTTCTCATTTCTTTTATCATTATTGTCATGACTGTTTACTCAGTATTGCACTTATTGTTCAGTCCAACTCAATAAGTTTAGAAACATTTTTACCCCGGAATTATTTTCAACGTTTTGACAGAATTTTAAAAAAGTTTTCCTGAAACATGTAACGGGGGATACACGCAAACTATTCATAAAATGGCTAAAACTGCCAAAGTGAAAGAGGAAGTACCGATAGCATCTAACACTTCCGAGTCAAAGTTATAAGATAAGATAAGATAAGATAAGATAAGATAAGATAAGATAAGATACATCTTTATTGTCCAGATCCTGGCACACTGGTTTGGTGTTCCACCACGTGTACACACACACACGCACACGCACACACACACACACACACATGTGCACACACATGCACACACAAGTAGGCTTACAATCACATGCATGATATAAATGAGCAGCAATATAAACAATAATAATCGTAAGCTAGATACACACTCTATTCAGATTCGTACGAGATTGCATTAGCAGTAACACTTCATGCACTCAGGGATCTGATCGGACCCTGGTACCACCCACTCAGGAAACAGGTAAGTCTCACTGGATGCTCCCCTCATACACTAGGGATTGTAGAGTTAAAAGCCTTCAGGTTAAGTCTGGACTTTTCGGATCAAATGAAATGACAGGCTGGGAGGAGAAATAAAACACATTATAACACCTCATTCTAATCCAAAAAAATTGCACTTGCCAGTCAGTAACATATGCCACATCAAGTAAAGGAACAGGCTTGGTACAGTGCTGCAGTAAGATTGGAAAAGAGAGCCATGTGACATTGTGTAGGCCTACACCGGGAAAAGCAATGGCAACCCTTGAGAAACAAAACCCAATAGTGAGGATGTAGATCTACTTCTAATTTCTCTGATATAGGCCTACCCACTTCTCAAGGACACAACATTATTACAAAATAACTAAAATTTTAAAACAGCACAGTAATAGTAGATCAATGTGACATCAATCATCATACTCATGTCATCATAGTGATATAGATCTAGATCTAGATCTAGATCTACATCTAGATCTAGAATCTAGTCCTAGAATCTACTCATGGGTGTCAAAATACAACTTGTACGAAGAAATCACAGTTGTTGTTGTGGGTTGGTTTTTTTTTTTGGGGGGGGGGGGGTCATGTCATAACAGCAGGCAAATCAAGAGCAAAATTGTATTTAGAGAGACCTATAAGCAAGACGAAGGCTGAGCTGATCTAGATCTAGAGTACGGTTGCCCCTTACCAGCCGCCTAACGCGCGTCTGTGGCTTGTCCCGGAAGCTTGGGATAAAAACTGACCCAGTTACCACAAATTGAAACTCATGTTGTAAAAAAGATGTTGCAAAATAATCCTTGGCCTTTGGCCGATAAGAGGCAACTGCCAGATTGGTTCTTTAGAGTTATGTTTGTACAATAAGACATAGAATTTTGAAGGACCCCAGTGTTGCCCCTTACCGGCCGGTCGGTGGAGTATTTGCCTCTTACCAGCCACCTGTTTCCCCTATACCGGCCACATTATATAAACATCAATTTATACACATAAGTAACGAACTAACCTCCATCCATTGACCTCCACGTTGTTTGTCATGCACTCAGTCACACCCGATCCATCCATCCAAGTCCCTGTCATTCCCATTCAAAACACCGACTCTCATCATACTCAGACCTCATACGCTCAAGAACTTCCATGCATTCCTCATCTGAACTGTCCATGTACTCAATTGCATCCGAGTCACCCTGATCCTTTTCTCTCTCATTCTCCACAACCTCAGTCTTCTTCTTCAAGCCCTTTCCTTTTTGCTTGTTGTCAGCATTAGCCTTCCTTTTAGCCTCTCTTTCCTTGTCCTTTTTCTCTTTGTTTGCCACTCTTTCCAGTCTCCTTTTCTCTTTCTCTTCATCTTCTCTGCCTTCTTTCTCTCCCTTTCTCTTCCTATCTTCTACAGCTGCTTTCTTTTCCCTTTCCTCTCGTTCTTTTCCCTCCTCAAACTCCTTATACTTATACTTTTCTCCTGACACGTATTTTGGGGGCTGAATCCTGTGTCCTGAATTTTTGGATGAACTTTGTGGGGCAAGGGGAGGTTGTCGAAAGTGGGAGGGGGACAATGGCATCTATAAAACTGTCCATAATAGACGAGTTAAGAATGGACTGCTAAGTTTATTGAAAGATATTTGGAGCAATTTCACATTAAAGATCTCTATAACTCATCAATGTGCTTTTTTAAGACCTTATTTTTAAGTGGC